TTTTTTTATTTTTATTTTGCAAGACTTTGAATTTATTAGTTACGTGATAAATCGATAAATCGATCGATGGATCGATTGGATACGTAAATCGATTTTATTTTAGTTTAAAAAATTAATAAATAACGTCGTGTGTCAACTCCACTACACAAAATATCATTAATAATTTTCTTCTTTTTTTTTTATTTATTTTCTGTGGGGCATGGAAAGGGAGGGGGGAGGGTTTTTGCTACGAGTAAAAACGAACGTGCGAGTGATTTTTATTACGTAATAAATCAAGTAATAATAAATTTTTTTTAATATTTAAAATGTCAGTTTCCTTAATAATAATAATAATAATAAAACGTTGAACTAATTTAAAGAGGATATTTTGAAATTAAATAATAATAATTATTATTATCGGTGTAATTTTTTTTTTACACGTGAAAAATATTAATAATAATAATGATAGTGATAACGATTTCAAGGATTTTATTATTAAAGCATAAACATAAAATTACATTAATAAAAGGGGTAATAGTGGTAAGTTTTTTTTTTTTTTTTGTAATTAATAAAAAAATTATTAAAAATTTTTTTTTTTTGGAGGGGGAAACGTTTGGATTTTTTATCAGTAATAATGATAATAATTTTTTAAATAAAAAAAAACAACACGTTAACGGAATTTTATATTATTATTATTATTATCATTAATATAAATTTGCGGTTGTTTTGAGTAAAGGAAAAATGTTTTCCCTGTTGCTCCCTTTTGCGGCAGGTTGCGGTTTATCGCGCACGTCTACGTTGTTGTTTTTGTTTTTTTTTTGGGAGGGGGGAAGGGAGAGGGGTTATCACGTGGTAAATAAATTAAATTAATTATAGTAAACATGAAAAGTTTTTTGAAAAAAAAAAAAAGAACGTTTGTTCGTTACGTAATGAAAAAGTTTTTTATTTTTTTTGCATTCTCATTTTAAAAAAAAAAAAAAAAACCATTACGAACGTGAAATAATTTGTTTTTTTCTAATAATAATAATAATAATAATTATTATTATTATTATTAAAGATATTCATTCGTGCCTCGAGTCTTTTTTTCCTCTCTCTCTCTCTCTTTTATTTATTTTTTATTTGACTTTCTCATCGTCAAATATTATTAAAAAAAATTTTTTTTTTTTTTACAATTATGTCAATTATCAATAATTTTGTGTTCTTTCACTCTTCGTCTCTTTTTTTTTTCCATCGGATCGTGTACCAAAAACTTACTTTCATCCATCGGTGGTACCAACGACATTTTTTCCTAAATAAATGAGGTTTATAGTTTTCGATCTATGAGAATTTTATCGACACTCGTCTACATTTCTTTTATGCTTTTTAAGGTACCTTAAATTAACCTTGAAACCTTAAATCGTCTCGTTCTTCCAGTCGAGTTTTTTTTTTTTTTTTTACTATTTGCGCGATGATACTTCCTCGTTCGTAATCGATTCTCACGAGTAATAATTAAAATAAAATTTTTTTTTTTTATTATAAAATCCCGTTGATCTTTTTATCGTACAGGTGTGTACGTGCGTGCGTGCGTGCGTGAGTACGTGGACACACCGCCTTCTTGTATAAAAAAAAAAACGATGACTAATAATAATATTTTTTTTTTTTTGAAAATCAAGATTCTTTTCTCTCTCTCCGTCGATAATAACTCAAAAAAGAAAAGTGAAAGTTGTTTCTTTTTAGTGTTTTTCGATTCCTCAGGGGGGGGAGGCAAAGTGGTAGCCGGGGGAGGGGGTGAAGGAGTAACGCGCGTATTTGTTTCGTGTCGTAAAAATTTTTTTTTATATTATTTAAAAAACAAACAATATCATTCTTAAAATTAATCATTTAAAAAACAAACAACAACAATAAAAAAAAATGTTTTAAATCGACTCTCTCTCTCTCTCTCACGTGTTTATTAATATTAACCCAAACATTAAAAAAAAAAAATTTTTTTAATTTAAAATCTCAAAAAAAGTATCGACCTCGTAATAATAATAATAATATCTTCACGTAAAAATGGCGACGACCTATCATCAAAAATTGTTTTTTTTTTTTTTTCCTATCATTTTACCTTGAATTAATTTTTTATTGTGAAATAATTTTTAATCGGTAATTTTTTTTCTTATTTTAAAAAAATTACTATTACAAACTAATCCTACAGGATTATTCGTACCTTGAAATTATTACCCGGGAATGGTTTTTTTTTTTAAAAAAAAAACGAACGGAAAAAAATCTGACCAAAAATATAAATTTTTTGTTTTTTTTATAACTACTCAAGGATTTTTTTTTCTTCTGCTTCATCCAATTAGGCAAATCGACCTTCTTATTGTTTACCTTTTATATATATATTTCGACTTAAAAGGGGCAAAAAATTTAATAATAATAAAAAATTTTTCCTTGACTTCTATTGCCACGTTTATTATTATTATTATTACATTCTTCTACACCTTTCGAAAATCATTCCAACAACAAAATCTTAATGACGGCCATTTTTTTTTTATTAATATTTACGAATATGGTAAAAAAAAAAAAAAAATTTCTTGTTTGTTTAATTAAATTCATAACTTGTTGTTTTGAGGAAGTAAAATAATTTTATGTCTTCTGCTTTTAAATTTACTTTCAATTTCGATTTTTATATTTAAATATTAAAAAGAAAAAAATTTATTATTTAATTTGATTTTTTTTATTATTTTTATTTATATGTCATTGTTTTTTTTTTGTTTTTTCGTTTGTTCGCCTTGTGTTTGTTTGTTGATTGTTGTTTGTTATGCCTGGGAAAAAACGACAGGTAGAAAAATAATAATAATAATAAAATTGTAATTTTTGACCTATCGATAAATTTTTTATTTTTAAAATGCCAATAATATTAAATGAACCTTCTTGAAAATATCACAGGGTATCCTTGACTATCATCAATCTCTCTCCCTCTCTCTCTCTCTCTCTCTCTCTCTCTCATTTAGTTATCCATAACTAAAATTAAAGAGAGCGTGTGATAAAACAACCCGTGAATAAATAAAAATACATTTTTTTTTAAATTTCACAATCGGTTTATAAAAATTTCATCAATCGAACCGTCACGATTTTACCTTAAAAAAAAAAAAATTTTTTTCCGTGATGGATTTTGTTTTAAACAAATGAAAACTAAAATAATAAAATTATTAACAAAAAAACGATACAGTTAAAGAGAGAGAGAGAGAGAGAGGAGTGTAGAAAAGAAAACGAAAAAATATAATTTTCAGGTCGCACGCCGCCATTTTTTTTTTTTTTACCCGATTCCTTTTCCTTTTTCATTCCAGTTAATCTTTTTCCACGTTTTTTTTAGCCTTTGTTTTTCATTTCCTGCATTTATCGAAAACATAAGACACGTTTAAAACTTGTTTATTGGATAACTTACAAGTTTTATTAATAATAATAATCATTGATTAAGTAAAAGGGTAAAAGGTGGTAGTTAAACAAAGGCTAAAAAAAATTTAAATTAATTTTTTTTTTTTTTTTTAAATATTGAGACGTTAAATTATTTATTATTATTATTATTATGATCATAATCAATAAATTTTTTTTTAATTTCCTTTTTTTGTTATTAATTTTACTACCTGTTCGAAATTATGTAGGGTGTTTGGAGGAAAAACATAATAATAATAATAAAATAAGAATGAAAATGTCGACTTGAAAATAAATTTTTTTTATTTGTTTAAAAAAAATGTGGCGACGTTTAAAATTGTTTAAAAAAATTTTCAGATCGAATCGGGCATTACACGACCTATTACAGGTATCAGGTCCTGGAATTAATTATAATAATTAAAAATTTTTAATGATACTGATAATAATAATAATATTTGTAAATGTTTTTTTATTTTTAAATGGCGGTTTTATTAATTAATTAATTCATTCTCGTTTTTTTTTTTACTTTTTTTGGCACGAAAAATAAATAATATTACGTAGTAACGAATCGATTAACCTTTTTTTTTTTTAATAATAATAATTTTTATGCCAAAAAATTTTATTATTATTATTATTATTATTTTCTGGCACGGATTTATCGGTTTTTTTTTTAATTTAAAAAATATGTCATCGATCGATGGCCAAATATTATATAATGTTGAATTAACACAAATTTTCTTCCTATTCCTTTAATTTAATTAGTACCTGAAATTTTAAACCCGAATGGTAAGCACCCGTTAAAATAAGATGTGGTAATAATAATAATAATAATAATAATAATTTTTTTAATCACATGCGTACGGTTCGGTTTCGGTTGAGAAAATTTTTTTTTTGTTCTCGTTCGATTTTTTTTAGATTCGTTTTAAATTTTGTAATTTTTATTTTTAAAAATTTAAGGATAAATTTTTTGTTTATTGTCTCGTAACGGTAAAATTAGTTGATATTTTTTTAAACAATGGAAAAGTCAAAAAATAATAATAATAATAGACAGCAAGGATAAAATAAAATTAATAAGTGAGGTAATAATAGTGTCAGTGTTTCGCATTTAAAAAATACCACAAAGTTCTTTTTTTTTTTTTTTTTGTTTTGCGCACCTGAATAATTTAAATTCTTTCACATTGTTATTATCATTATTATTATTCGAATGTAACTTTATGTTGTTTTGATCGCTTTCGCTTCTTGTTGATGTTTCACGCGGAGAAAAAAAAAAAATTTGAAATAATGAAATAAATTACAAGTTTTTTTTTTTTTTTAAACAACATTAATTCGTGTACGAAATATTATTTCGGTTCTTTTATTATTATTATTATTATTAATTTTATAATATTAAGTTGGATTTTGTTGTTGTTCGAGTCATGCTTAAATAAAAAAAACATGTTTTTTTTTGTGTTTTAATTTTTGCAGGACCGTTAATTGTTGCAGGATGTGTATGTATTTAATATTTGGATAATAAATATTTTACGAATAATTTTTTTTACAGGTACAATAATAAAAAAAAATTAAAAATGATTAAAGAAAGTATCGGATTTTAAATTATTAGCAAAAAAAACATAAAAAAAAAAAAGATGTCTAATCTCACGCCTCAAAATTCCATAACAGAATCAGATCATTCGAGATTATCCGAAGTGGCATTAATTGAAAAATTTTTTGCCGAAGTTAAAAATTTCGATTCTAATAATAAAAAAAATAATAAATACGAATCGAGAGATAACGGTATAATAGATGATAAGAAAAATTCAATTAAATGGATTCCGAATCAAACGGAAGAAGAATACGGTAGAGAATTGAAAAAGAATAAATCGATGGGAGAGAAAACAAAGGATAGAAAATATAACGGGCCCAATATGGCGACGATGGAAAGCGATAAAACGTCATCAAGTTGCACCGCAAGTGATTTTACGAATAATGTTTACACGAGAAATGGTTACATCCGTGGTACGAACGAGAAAAAAATTGATAGGGATTCCCTTTTGAAATATAACGAATTCAGCAGTTTGATATCATCACTCGGTGGTGCCAACCACCATTTACCAGTCGAAGTTAAACTCGATGATAAGGATATTAGAAAGTCGGAAGAAAAACGTCATTGGCTCGACGAAGAAAGTAGCATTTACATAATATTGGGAGGAATACAAATGATGTTGGGAATATTGATGGCAGTTTTTGGAGTTTTGGTCATTGCTCACAATTCAAGCCTTTCAGGTGCCGGAAGTGGACTGTGGGGTGGTGCGGTTGCCATGTTTTCTGGTAAATACTTTTTTTAAAAAATAATCTACTATTTCCATTCAACTATTATTTTTAACTTTGTTCTTTTTTTTTGTTTAAAAGGTCTCGTGGGTATTTTGGCGGGGCTTAGAGGTTGTTACACGGCTGAAAAAGGTTTGGCGAAAACTTCTAGAACTCTTCTCTCCGTATTTCTTGCTTTATGTTTGGTTTCTTTTGCTTTAAGTAATCTCGTTGTCGTTTTAACTGCCACTGGATTAATTAGAGACGTGCAAAGATCAAACGTCAGTTAATGAATAAATAAAACGTCACTGTTTTCTCATCTTCATTTTTATCTTACAAAATTTTTTTTTAATAAAATCGTAGGAATCTGCAAATTTAGACGAAGAAGAAGTTCTCATAATAAATTGGCCACCCGTTCTTGCTGATATCGGACTAATATTAGCAGCTACTCTTCAGTGCGTTGCTGCCGTTTTCTCAGGATATAAATGCTACAGAAAAGTTTGTCCCTGTTTCAAAAGTCAAAGGAAATCTTCGGTATCCGACGTTGATTCTTCCCAAAACGAAAAGTAATTTTTCCATACTAATTATCATTATTATTATTTTTTTTTTTAACTCATTGAAATTAAATTTCTTTTTTTTTTTTTGGTTAAGATATAAAACAGAAGAAAAAGATCGTTTCGTATATCATTGGTTAGGACAACAACTACGAATGCCAGAAAAAAAAGATAAATATGGCGGCCAAGAAAGTATAATGCCCTGGGGAACTCCAAATCTCGTTTTATTGCCTCCTCCTCCTCCGGTAAGTATACAAAAAACTTGAAAAATAATTTTTGTTGGAAAAAATAAATTTCACCACGGTAATTTTTCTTCTTAATCCCCTCCCGTATTTAGTAATAATAATAATAATAATAATATAATTTGCAAACTCGATTTTTTTTGTTATTTGTGATGAAACCGAAGGGCATACGTGATATGAATTAATTATACGTATTATTATTATTATTATTATTATTAAATTATTACACATCACACTCGTAATTAAAATTAATTATTACGTTAATTATTTATCGAATTAATAATTAACTAACTTTTTTTTTTTTTGAAAAAAAAAAAATAATAATAATATTTAGCAAAAGTTTTTCATTAAAATGTATTATCGTTACGTCACATCCGTAGATTTTTCAACTTTAATAGTTTAAAAATATTTTATCGTAATTATTATGAAAAAATATATATTATTATTATTATCGTCGAATGATTATTATTTTAAAATAAATTTTTTTCCCTTTTTCTTAAAAAGGTTGGACTTTAAAGAAAATAAATAAAATGAACAATTTGTTATCATTATAATTATATTTTTATAAAATAAATGCGAATAAGTTTGATTATGAATAATAATAATAATAATATATATTTCTTTCATTCGATTCCTTTTTCTTTTTTTTTTTTTTTTGTATTTTAAAGAAAGTAGTTTCGTTTAGCAATTTAAATTACACTTTCGTTTTTTTTTTTTTTTTTTTCGTTTAGTTCAATGAAATTTAAATTTTTATATACTAAACATCAAAGTTGTGTTTGATTAATGTGTTGTTGTTTTCAATTTGTCGAGTAATAAAAAAAAAAAAATTACTTAAGAATGACTAAGTTAAATTTTTTTCTTTTTTTTTTTTTAAACGTTTAATCAATTTCTTTTTAAAGTTATTAAAAAAAAAAATTTATGTATTTATGTTGTTGAGCAGCATTATTGCACAAGATTTTTTTTTATTTATTTTTATGCTAATAAATAATAACTTCATTTTCAAAATAAATTAATTTTTATATAATAATATTTATAAATTCAAAACATTTTCATTTCGTTTATTATTATTATTATTTTTGTTTAAATGCCAATTATAACGAAAATAAATTTTCAATTCTTCTGCCACGGTTAGAAGACTAAATAAGAGAAACAGTGCGTTGAGTTCTAAAGTCATCGTAATGGATTATTATTATTATTAATTTATTTTATGCAGATAATAACAAATGGACAAATTCCCATATTAACATTTCTTCAGTCACCATCTTCTGTGTTCGGTTCTTCCGTATGTGGTCAAGTGTATCCAAGTTCAACAATGCCCTGCTGTTGCAGACACGGAACACAATGCGTGTCTAATTCAAATCCGATGGTTCATCACGAGAAAAGATCTTCGAAAAGGGCTAATTATTTACAACCGGATAGCAAGGTATTAAAAGAAGAAGAAAATTTTTTTAGTTTTTGTTTCGCATTACGAAATGCTGATGTATGTTGTTTGTTTGTTGCACAAAAGGTTCGAAGCAAACACAGAAGTAGAAGTAGAAGCAGTGTGAATAATGAAAGAAGAGCATCGCTACCAACGGCAGAAGAAGTTGCCAAAACGTATACAGGTTTGGATAGAGAAATAGCTGAAGAATTTATTAGTATTGCTATGGGGAAAGGAGGAAAACGTTCTAGAAACAATAGTTTTGCCGAATACGGAACGGAAATTAAAAAGAAGGCTTATTAGTCAGTTAACTTTGCTCAAATATTTATGAATTCGTTGTTAAATATTCACGTTGTTACCAAAGAGGAGAAGTAAATTTATTTAACAAACAAATAAACTTTCGTAATAATAAAAAAATAAACGGAGGAAAAGAAAAAAAAACTACTTAGCGTAGCTCAATATATTGCCAATTAATTTTTGTACAGAAAAGTAAATAGGACATAATTAAAAAATAAAATATGTATATGTGTATTATTTACAAATATTTAATTTTTATATTAAATAATGTAATTTATGTATTGTATTAAAAATATATTTTTTACATAATTATTTAATCTCATAAAAAAAATTGTTTGAATTTTGTTTTACCCCCTTTTTTTGTTTTTAATTCGATTATTTCACGAAAATTATTTAAAAAATCTTTATTTTGTTTATAATTTTATATTAGCATTTATTAAAAAAAAAAAATCTACTCTTATTCTGATAATTAAATTTTTAATAATCTCTATAATATTCTCAAAAATTAAAAGTTTGTAATAAATTATTTCAAAGGTAAGATAAGGAAGACATTTTTTTTTTTTTGAATTATTGAAAAATAGAATATTTTAAAAGTTTCTTAAAAAGTTTTACACGAAAGAATATTCTTTAAATATTTAAATATAACGATTTACGTTGTAAACGTTAAAACAATTTTCTTTTTTTTTTTTTTTGTTATTATGGTAACACTTAAAATAAAAATTGATAAGAGTGACATCTATAATAAAAATTATTAACCACTTCTGCGCAGTTGTATGCGCTCTAACGGATTTTCCAGGTTAGTTTCAAAATGGTGGCTCGTCTTAGTGTTGTGTAAGATGTTTATATATTTAATCATTTGAATAATTTTTTTTGTCGCATGGTGAGTACATTTTAGAGTTATCAAATTAATTTTTAACTAAATTCTAAATGTAAAATTAACTTGTAATATTTCTCTAACATACAACAAGTGAAATTATTTAGTAATTTAACATTAATTGTTTATATGTAGTAAAAAAAAAAAACAAAAACTAGGTATGATTTAGACATTTCATTATCTTACTACGTTTTTCTTTTGTTTAATTAATTCAAGATTAATTTTTTTTGTATGATAAAAAACATATTTTACCTAATTTGAATAAGAACATTGATTTTTTTTGTTCATATTACGTTGTCGCGCGTGACATTTTATTTCTCGAAGAAAAATAAATCGTTTTGTTAGGGTAAGAAAAAAAATGTCGGATTTGTGTGTATTTACATATATATATATATATATATAAATTCGACATTATTCATTTGCGTTTTATTTTATTATTTGAAGCATAAACTTAAATTTCATAACACTATTTTAACGGAAATTTCAAAAAACGTAAAATAATGGGCGGTGTCACGCGTACTACAAGGGGTGCAGAAATCAATGGGCAACAGTTGAACATTTTTAGTTTGGACGTGAAGGCATTTTGATTTTAAGTATTGTAATGTCTAAGTGAAATAAACGAACGACAGTTTGTCTTTGAATGCGGGATATGATTCAGTTGAGTCATTTAATGCAATTATTGAATGTCATAATTTATTATTATTATTATTATTGGGAAAAAAAAAATTTTAAATTTACATCGGTTGAGACATTTATAAATAAATTATGACTCAAGTTTATAATGCATAGTTGAGTATCAGTTCCCAGGTTAAGTTATAATTTTATTATAAATTTTCAATTCATTTATTTTACAATTTAATTGTATCGACAGATGAAAAAATTATGTTTATTAAATGATTCACAAAAAGAGCATTCATTACTCACTCGTTTTCAATTAGTGTTAATTTAAAGGAAATGACTGACTGTAAATGTTTTATAAATATTTACATTATTTTACTCATGGTTTCAATAAATTGTTTTCAATGTAATTATTGTATCTCACAAAATTACAAAGTCAAAATTCTAATTTAATTTTATCATCATCGATGAAAAACAAAAAAAAATTTTGTAAATTAAAATTGTTATCAATGGCTAAGGTTTAGTTTCGACAACACAGGGTTTGTTGCTACCACCATTTTGAAAAGCAAATAGTCGTTGTGATATAGGAAATGAAAAATTATTTTGATTGTGAGAAAATTAGGAAAAAGCAATTTAGTCATTCAAAGTAATGTATCATAAATCATGAGCTCAGTTGGTTGTTTTTTTTAGGTAGAAGATATAGTTTTGTGTTATGATTGTTATTTATTTGTAATTAATTCACATCATGAAATCAATTTAAATGTGTTTATCTAGTTTTTTTTTTTTTGCGCCATGTTCGAGTGCGTACGTGTGTGTGTGTGTGTTGTCCTTAATAATAATAATAATTTTCATTTAAAATTGTGTGTGTATTTTAAAAAGTTAATTGATATTGAAGAGTTGATTGATTTTTTTGAATGATTTGTTTAAAAATTTAATGTCGCAATTATTTTATTAAATATGTGAGATTGAATAAAAACATCATCGTGATAAAAATAATTATTAATATTATAATACAAAGGAAGGGATCGAAATTAGTTTTTTAAGTGGAATCCTTTTTTTTTTTTTTTAAATGTGATGAACTCTCTTAAGAAAAAAAAAAAAAAATTAATTTAAAAGCATTTTGTGTTTTTTAATAATTTTTTAAGTTGTTTATTTCAAAATGATGTAAAAAGCTTCAAGAAGAGTGGTAATTAAATGACATTCCTCTTACTTCGGGTCTTTTATTTTATTTTTAGATTTTTTATTGGTAATTGACATCCTCTTTCTTTTTTTTTTACATAATGAGAGTATTTGCAAGAATGAAGCAAGTGAATGAGTAAGAGAGGATAATAATAGTAATGATTGTTCCCGGCATTTTTTTTTAATAGAAGGAAAAGAAAGAAAAAAGGAAAAAAGGTGTACTGATTGTATACGTTTTCCGATTAAACGCGGGGGTAACGTTTGTAAGGATAGAGAGAGAGAGAGTGTGTGACGGGAGAGTTCGTTGTCAAGGAAACCATTGGATTCTTGGTTCGATATTCGGAGCTAGAGCAAGAGGGGTCACATAAATGCAGTCATCGTTGTTTGGTATCTTTTGAATCATGGAAATCTATTTTTGTAAATATGTACACAAGGGGCAAAAAAGAGAAAAAAAAGGTAGCTTATAAAAATGGTCGTGCCTGTTTGTTATTCAACTATCAAAACTATAAAATGAATGCATCTGCTCTTTCTTATTGAATTTTTAGTAACACGATCCTGCATTTTTATTTTAAAAAAAAAAAAAATAAATAAATTTTTATTTGTTTTTTTTTTCAAAGATGGCTAATAGTCATCTTTTGTAGCCATTTTTTTTTTTAAATAATTAAATCACGCAATATATTAAATTATTGAAATTAAAATCACAAAATTAAAATTAAAATTATAAAATCCAAATGTCAATAATTTTTAGTTTTAGGTGTGGCTTCGTTCTTTTATTTGAAATTATTATTTACCCCCTTCCCCCTCCCCTTTTCTTTTAGGGTTAATTTGATTTTGTTTTTCACTGTTTAAATTTATAAAACAAAATAAAAAAAATACTTGTTGCTAAACTTATTTACCTTTTTTTTTCACAAGTTTTTTAATTGTTAAAATTTTATGCTCCACAAGTTTTGTTTTTAGTTTTTTTTTTTTTTTTTTTTTTTTTTGTTGGGTAGTTTTTTATTAGTTTTGAACGGAGGCCATAAAATTGTTACCTTATATCTTTTGGGCGGGTAAATGAAAAAAAAATAAAAAATAAAAAAATATTAATAATACTCGGGGGCTTTTATTTATTTATTTTTTTTTTCTGGAAATTTAAAACTTTAAAAAAACCATTTCGATTTTTTTTTTCGTTTTTTGCTTTTACTTCCGGCACGAAACGTAAATTGTTTAAGTTTTAGTTTTTAAATTGCGATTTGAAACTTTTGACTAACCCGGTTTTAATTTGAAAATTAGGATGATGCAAAAAAAATTCTATAACCGATTTTTCGATAGTGCCAAAAAAAAAAAAAAAAAAGGGAAAGTGTTTAAATCATTTTTTTTTTGAAGTGATTAGGTAGTCGTTTTTTTTTTTTTTGTAAATATATTGCCAAAAAAATTTATATAAAATTTCCTTAAATTTCGAATCGTAAAAAAAAAGAAAATGGGAGTTTCCATTTTGCAATTTAAATTTATATTTCATTTTCATTGAATATTAATTACCAACAGCATAAATAGTTTTAAACAAAAACCAAATGGGAAATTTTTTTTTTTTTTTTTTTTTTTTTTTTTTTTTTACTAAAGTTTAAATAAAAAATTTTCTTCTTTGCTTTTATTTGTTTGTTGTTTTCCGAAATTAAATAGTAAATTTTGGTGAGGCAGAGTTAATAATTAATTACTTTGGAAAATTTCAAATTGTTTTTCTCTCTCTCCCTCTCTTTATTTTTTTCATTTTGAAAATCCCGCACATAATTTTTATTAATTTTTCAATATGAAGTTTTTGTTTGGGGTTTTAACGGCGGGTAGTTAAGTCTCGTCGAAAATCTTTTAAACTATAATTCTCCAATATTTTTTGTACAAAAACGTGTTGTGATAGTTGATGATGATGATGATGATAATGAATGTATAATTTCGCTGACCTTTATTTTATCAAATTACGGCAAAAAAATTGGGTGACACGTAGAGAGTATCCGTTGTCCAAAGTTTGCCACACAAACAAACACTCGCACTCTTTCAATGATTTTTTTTTTTGCCCCCCAACAGAAATCAAAAAATCTTTTCACATCATACAAAAATTAATTATTTGTGGCATCGATTAGGATTTTAAACTTTTTTAAGACCAATTCACGTTCTAGAAAGAAAGAAAGAAAGAAAAAAAAATGAATTCGTCTTTTTCAAGTGCACTGAAAAAATACCGTTTTAAAAATTTGTTGTCACATTTTAATTTTCTATTCTTTAATTTTTTTCGTTGTTGTTGTTGTTGTTTGTAATTCAATTTTTTTTTTTGAGGGATATTCATTATAAATTCCCTGCTGTTAAAAACGTAAAAAGGAGAGAGAGTGAGAGAGAGAAAAAAAAGGGGAGGGGGTAAGATGACAAATGCATCATGAAAAGGTTCGAAAATCGTTTTTTTTTTTTTTTAGGATATTTACCGGAAGTTACGTCAGTATACTGTAATAATACTGCATAATTTTTTCTTTTACGATTGTTTAAAAATATCGATCTCAAAAAATAAAAATTTTAAAAGAATTTTCTCTCTCTCTCTCTTTTTCTCTGGGAAAATAGCGAGAAAAGTTTTTTAATTTTGCCGTTTCGTTTATTGTATTCGAATAAATTATTATTATTATTATTATTATTATTATTATTATTATTATTATTATTATTTAATTTTTTAAAACGTAAGTATCATAAAACTTTGGTAAATGGTTTTTCACTTAGGATTAACAACGAGAAAGAGAGAGAGAGAGAGGGAAAAACACTTTTTTGAACATTTTGTGAAAGAGAATTTTAAGTTGTTAGCGAGTGATTGTTGTTATTAGAGTTAGATGTTAGCGAGTTGAGAGGTTTATTATTATTTATTTTTCAATTTGAAATTTTTCACAGATTTTTTTTTTTTTTTTGTCGAAATATTTTCTCACAATTGTGATTGTCGTCGTTGTCGTCAATTTTTGACATACTCGCGTCATATTTTTTTCCTTTTTTCCACATAAAAAAATTTTTTTTTTTTTTTTTTTGATTTCTTTTTAAGGTTATTAAGAACATTTTTTTTTTTTTTTTTTTTGATAAAAGTTGAGTAATTTATTTTTGAAATATTAAAAATGTTTATGTTTTTTTAGGTAAAACATACTAATAATAATAATAATAAAGGAAAATTGTATTAAAATCGATAGCTAAAAAAAAAATTTTTAATCTTAAATTACGTAGGTAGTAAGGAAAAGTGTCGAATTACTTGGTCGAACGGTTGGTTATTAACAAATTAGAGTGAAAAGATTTATTAACAAGCTTATTTGAGCAAAAGAATTTCACTCCGAAAGATTAGGACGAATTTTTTTTTTTTTTTTTTTTTTTGGTTAAGAAAAAAGGGGAGGAAAAAATCACAAGAATTTCTCAGGATGTAAGGGTGACTTTAAGGGTAGGGGGACGAGGAAAAGAAAAAGTATTTAAATGTTTGGGTCAAAAATGTTTTTGAGAACCCCAAAAAACGGGGTTTTTTTAAGGGTATCATCATCGTGAACAAAAGGGCTCTGGATTTTTATTCTTTTCATTTTCCCCTTTTTTTTTTTTTTTTTTTTTTTCTTTTTACTCTCCCAGTCCGGAAATTCACGGAAGAACGAATCCGTTGAATTGAAAAATAATAATAATAATAATAATGATAAATTTGTAGTTTTTTATTAATGTCGAAAAAAAATATATAGTTTTGTTTATTTACGAAACGACCTTAAAGTTTTTTTTATTTTTTATTTTTAAATGTTAATTGATGGGTCGGAAAAATCATATAATTTCGATTAGGCGATTTAAGTGTGCATAACCTTGACCTCTTACGGAACTTTTTTTAAAAACGAAAAAAAAAAAAAAATTCTTACGTAACGAATAAAAAATACGTTCGAGTCGGAAAACAGAGTGAGAGAGAGAGAGAGAGAGAGAGACGATTAAGAGTTTCTACAGTTGACCGAACGCTTCGTCGATAGTATTCAAATCGAAATTTTTCCTCTTTTTCCGCTGAAAATTTGTATAATTTGTTCGAAGTTTTTTTTTTTTTTTTTTTGTGGAAAATTGTTGTTTTTCTCGTTTTTGCAAATGATTATTCGCGTAAAACAATGGCGGCGAGAATTGTTTTAAAACTCTTACACAATGAGTAGCGGTGGTGAATGAATGACGAAGGTTGTTGTTGTTGTTTTTCTCGTTTTTGTTGCTTCGTTTGTTTTCGTCGTAAAGTTTGCCAGATTTTATATTTTTCTTTTCAGAGTGTTCAAAGGGGTAGAAAGTTCGTCTCCGGATGCGAACGGAATCGTAAATAATTGAATAAAAAAAAAAAAAAAAAACAAAAAAATTGTTCGTTATTACGTTTCGAAAAGTTTATTTTTGTTGAGTTTATATTTATTTTCCGAATTGAAAAATGGTGTCAGTCAGCTAACGTTTTAACGTTTTTCAACAAACACGGTTTAGAAAATAATAATAATAATAATTAATTTTTCCTTTTTTGGAAGGGGGGGGAAAGGGAATCGGAAAAGGTTTGAATTTTTCAAAAGGTTACGACGAATTCGAAATAACAAGATTAAAGTTTTTGAAACAAGGAGGAGGAGGAGAAAAAATTTTGATCCGTGAAAAAACAATACAAAAGTTTATCTGGAAACGAGTTTGAAAAAAAAAAAAAGTTCCCGTTTTTTTATTTTATTTTCTTTTTGTAAATTTTCCACGTTGAAAACGTGAATGACGAAAGAAAATTAAAAAGAAAAAAAGTTTTTCATTAAAAAGTGTTTCTCGTTTTTAAATTCCGCTTTTTTTTTTTTTAATTCGTTTCCACTTTAGTCGATGATTATTATTATTATTATTATTACTTTACAGTTACAAAATTAACGCGATTACTGTAATTATTTTCATTTTTCTTTTTTTAAAATTAATGGAAATTTTCGAAATCAAAAGAAAAGAAAGAAAATTTAATTCAATAAAAAGGCCGCGGTAAGAGAATTTAATAAATTTTCAATTTTTATTTTCCGTTTTCGCGTTTCGTTTACAAAATTTTTACTTTTTATTTAAAGTTTTTTTTTTTTCCTTTGGTTCATTTTTTTTTCTTTCGTTTTTACAAATGAAAATTTTTTTTTTTTTACTCGAAAACATTTGGAAAATTATTTAAAAAACAAAAAAAAAAGGAAAATATTCGAAAAATCTTTATAAAAGAGTAATTAATTAAAAAAAGAAAGAAAGAGGGGATAAAATGAAGTGAACAAAGAGAGAGAGAGAGAGAGAGAAAAGCGGAAAAAAGGATAATCTGTTGAGAAAATTTAGATTTTATCGATTTTAAGTGAAAAATTAATTTTTGACTTGCGAAAAAAAAAAAAAAAAAAAAAGAGAAAAAAATTCAGCACATTTTTTTTTTCTGGGGAGAGATAGAGTGAGAGAGAGAGAGATTTTTAATTTTCTCTTTTTTTTTAAAAAAAAAAAGTCAAATTTTCAAAAAAAAAAAAAAAAAAAGAGAAAATTTTTTTTCTCAGTCTCTCTCTCTCTCTCAGTTTTTTAATTCCGAACGTTTTGTCGTTTTTTTTGTTTTTTTTTTTTCTTTTCATTTAAAAAAAAGAAAAATAATAATAATATAACGAATTGTTCTCTGTTGGCGCTTTTTTTTTTTTTTTTTGAAATTTACTTAACAAATTTTGAAAAATCTTTTTCAATTTTTTTTTTTTTTTTTATTGAAAAAAATATTTATAATTTAATTAAGATTAGAAAGTGAATAAAGAAATTATTTTTTTCCTTTTTTTTTTGTTCCTTTTTGTTCCTTTTTTTCCCTTTTCATTTATCCTTTTACCTGCGTTTTGACGTAACAATATAATTAATAAGTATTATTCTTTCATTGTAAACAATTGGATTTTAAATTTTTTAATTAGACGTTTTTTTTTTTTTGTTTTTTTTTTCTTAAATCTTAATGTCGAATGGAATAAAGTGGTGATGCTGGTGGTGGTGGTGGAGGTGACGATGGTGAGGAAGTACAAAAAAGAAAAGAGAAAAATCGACCGGTTTTTTTTTTTTTGGGGGGGGGGGGAATTTTGGGTATTGTTATCGTTTAAAATAAACAACGTTCCCTATTGGATGGATGAAAATTATTATTGTGTGTGTGTGTGTTGAAATATTAGCCAACTTTTTTTCTTTTCTTTTTTTTTTTAAATTTAGAATAATCCCGTACGTTGAGAAAAAGGGGGGGGGCGGGAAGAAAGGGGGAGGGACCGGGTTAATAGAGAAAAATTTTGATTTTTTGCTTCGTTGGTTTTTTTTTTTTTTTTTTCTCGTTGTATTTTCGATCAAGGAGTGTTGTTTAATCGTACTTGGTTTTGTATTTTTTTATTTTTCTCTCTTTTTTTTAGGGCATTTTAATGGGTACAATAATAATGGATTTCAATAGTTAGTATTTGAAAATAACGGAAATGGAGCCTGATCAGTACAAGCCGACTGTTTTGGCAAAAATTTTCCACAAGTTACCACATTTTAACATAACATTGCATTTTGTAAATGCAACATTCAATCCGGACAGCGAAACTTATCTCGAGGTGAGTTTGAAAAAATTTAAACCCTCGATAAAATTTGTTTTGTCCCTTTTATTATTATTATTATTATTATCATCATTGATCTTTTAAGGGGGGTAGTATTCCTTCGGGATGTTATATTTATAAATTGTTATTTCACGGTAGATTTTTTATACGTTTCTCTCACGTTTGCCCTTTGAGATGTAATAGAAAAGGAAGCGTTAAAATTACAAATCGATTAATTGAAAAAAAATAAAAATTTTAATTTTTCAGTCGCTCGGAATCTTAGCATCCATTCCGGCAGCTTGGGTCATATTAACATTGTTCGTTTTGCTTGTTTACCTCTGTACCAGATGTTGCGACAGGAAACCCAGACCCAAACACAGCATCAGTTTGCTCAAATGGACTTTGAGCATTTTCACCATATTGTGTTGGTAAGGTTCAACAGGGTTTTTCGTTTGTATATTTTTTTCTCCCCCTTTCCTCCTCCCGTGTTATTTGTTATTAAATTATTTGTTTACTTCATTTCACACACACACACACACACCCCACACCCCTCAGCGTTTCCCTGTCTGAAATCTCTTTTGAAATTTAAATTTTATTAAACTTTGAATAATTTAAAAAGCGATTTCTTATAAAATATTTACTTTGAAATGACTTTTAAAAGTTTTTGAAAACTGGAAAGAATGAAAAAGAAAAAAAAAAAAAGTTGCGCCTCATTATATTTTGTCGTTATTTTAGTGGAGCTATAGGAGTTGGACTTTACGGAAATGATGATGTTCATAATGCTGTCGTTCATTTTGTGTCTGCAATTAAAGCTGTCAACGAAAAAATTTTAGCTGTCAAAAATCAGGTAAAATACGTTTAAGCATTTTCCTTTTTTCTTTTTTTTTTTTTTTTTTTTTTTTCTCTAATGAAATTAAATTAAAACTGTCAAATTTGTTTTATTTAACCTTTTTCTGGAAAAGGTTTAAATATTTCGAATAAATTAAAAAAAAAAAGGTTTTTGTTTTATTTTTAAGACGGGTACGATTGAATCCACTCTGCAATTAAAAGTCAAACCTTTGCTTGCCGAACTCAGCGATATTTTCGATGATCCCGTCGCAAATCAAACGGCTCGAGCCATGTTATTGGTCGGGTTGAATGCCGTCGTCGGGAATACATCATCAGCTTTGGCAAGTTCTTTAGATATAAGCCGGCCTCTTCAGGGAATCAATTTAAGAACTATAATTCATTACGTTCAATTAGGAGAAACAATAAGGTGAAGCGGCGAAAAAAAAATTTTTTTTGTTTCTCATTCTGATTGTTTTTTAACAACGATGAGAGAGAAAATCATCATTATTTTATCACTCCCGCGATAAAGAGTTAACGAACTTATTATTAAAAAAATTTTTCAGATGGCCTGCCACGATGGGAGTTTTAAGCCTTTTGCTTGTCTTCTGTGTTATACTGTTGTTTGGAGTTGCACGACATTCTAGATGTTGCTTAATTACGTAAGTTGAAAAAGACATTAATTATATTTTTATCATGGATTTTTCACCGTGAAATTATTAATTATTTATTGACGTTGTCCCTCAAGGTTTTCAGTTTTCGGTTTGTTTGCCGTCATAATTAATTGGATGTTGACATCGGTTTACCTTGCGATATCCGTGGCTCTGGGAGATTTATGCGTTGCACCCGAAGACTTTCTCAGATATGAATCTCCGAGCTCTTTGCAGGTTCTTATTTATTTTTTTTATTTTCTTGTAAAATTGCAATTCGAGATTTAATGAGTAAAATTAAAAAAAAAAAAAATTTAGGCGGAAGTTTTAAAATATTATATGCGATGCGAGCCGTCACACACGAATCCTTTCACTCAAAGACTTCGCGAAGCTCAGCGTGGAGTGGACGCCATGACGGCTAATCTTGGAGTCGTTGCCAAATTAGCGGATCAATTATACCATAAAAACGATTTGCATCCCAGACTGGATATTCTTACCAAAGACATTAATTTGACAGATAAGTGAGTAGGGGATTAATTCAAAATGCGTTTGCACGCATTGTTTTTTTTTTTTCGGTTATTCGAGTTAATTTTTGGTCATTTTTTCCATTTCTTAGATTAGTATCTAGTCTGGCTGCACTTTTAGACTGCAGGCCGTTGCACAAGCAATACCTTGAAGCGGTACGAAGCGTCTGTGATCTTGGTTTATACGGTATGGCTTTCATGTTGTTGGCCAGCATTTCAGCCGGTCTATTATTCACGGTACTCGTTTGGGTTGATTCTCACACCTGGATATACATTCGTAAAAGGTATGTTCGTCATTTCACTTACATAATCTCAATTTTTTTTTTTATATTTGATTTGTTTATTTTTTGTAATTCTTTTGCCTTTTAAACGTATAGTTAGTTTTTTTTTTTGTTATTATTATTATTATTTTAAACCCGAACTCACTTTTTCATTTGATTTAGGAGAGATTATTTGCAAGTGGATGAACAAGATCCGTTTCTGCCACCTAGCGCTGCTTCGCAAGCCATTGCAGCCCGGACACTTCGCAACCAAGGGTCGTACAACGCACCTCCTCACTCTGCATCATCCATTAAACGTATTCCCTCGTCCAGGAATGCAATTGAACCATCTCCTAGCATGCCTCATCGTTACACTCCCCTGAGTCCGAATCCGTTCGCTTTGAATTTATCAAACGAAACCAAAGATTTTCAAAAATATTTAGAAAGCACGTCAAACGTTTATTACGATTCGACAATACCGGAAACGCGAAAACCGAATAAAATTGACGAAGTCGATAACGAAAACGTTGACGACGATTCGGGTTACGGATATTACAGTTCAATTCCGGTCAACCGGGGATTTAATTCTCCCGCGCGAAAAAACAATTACAGGGATCAAAATAACGATAGGGAACCGTCCAAATGGTCCCAGCGTCAGAGTTCACAAAATTCAACGTTGGAGTCCACGTGGTCTCCGAAAACGTAAAATTCCCGTCAACGGCGAGACGTTGTAAACAAAAAAAAAAAAAACCCAATGCGTTTTTTCCTTTTTTTTTTTTTTTTTTTCCGCCATTAATTATCGGAACTTTGGTGGATTAAATGTTTTTCGGTGCCATTTTGCTATTAATTATATAAAAAAAAAAATCGCAAAACACAAAATGGATCGCTTGTTGTTTGCTTTTCAAAATTTTTGTTTTCATTGATTGTTTTCTTTTGTTGTTTTTCGTTTTCACTAAATAATTAGCCATCACGACGTTCCCTCTAACTTTTAACACAAAAAAAAAAAAAAATTATGCCATCGTTTAGCCCAATAGCCAATCGTTTCATGCCATAATTTGTGATGCTTTTTTTTTTTTTTTTTAATTTTCTTTTCTCCTCCCCTCCCCTACGCCCTCCCCCCTAATTTTAAGAAAAAAAATTATTTTATTTTTGTATATTTATTTTTAGTTTATAATTTAATTTATTATTATTAATATTCTCACGCGTCGTCGACGTTTTTTTCATTTTTTCCATTTTTTTTTTTTTTTTTTTTTTTTAATAATTGGAGTTGCGTGAATTACGAGTTTTAATTATATTTTTATATAGCCGGTAGATTTTTTTTTTTTTTTAGAAAGAGATAGAAAATGATTTGAATTTTCTTTTTTTTTTTTAAATTATAATTCAATGCTAGTCGAGCGGGTTTTCTCATTTGAATAATTGAAAATTTAATTTTTCAAAAGGGAGAAAAAAAAAAAAAAAAAAAATTATTTAACTACGCGAACTCGTAAAAATGTTTTGGAATTTAATTATTATTTTTCAACCGAATTTTAAATAAAATAAAATAAAAAAAGAAAATTTCACCATCATGGCTACAAAATAATAATAATAATACATTCACACAGACACACAGTTTAACTTTGTTTGTAATTTTTTTTTTTACGGCTTATTTTCCTTATTTTGTACTTATAAACCGCGTTTTTTTTATTTAAACATTCCCTCTAATAATAATAATAATTATTGTCGCTTTAACATTTAAGGATTGATTTCTATTTTGTTTTTCGTCGCGGCGGTATACGTGAAAATTTTTTTTTTTAGTTTATAAATAAATTCAAAGCGTGTAAAATTACATAAATATTATTATTATTAAAAATATTTTATAAAGGCATGATTCGAAGCATGTTTATATATATATATATATATATATTTAGTTTTGCATGAAACATTCATTGCCTAATTTATTTTTGTGAAAATGTAAATGCACTTTGAAATAATAATAATAATACTTTAGGCATGGTTGAATATTTTTATTTTTTTCTGATTTTCGTTATTATTATTATTGGCATTTTTTTATTTTTTATTTTCTCAATAAAAACGTTTATTTATTTATTTAATGTTTTTAATTGCATACCGAACCGGAAATGAAAAAAACCTTTTCAATGTGAAAATTTTATTAAAAAAAAAAAAAATTATGTGCATGAATGTATGTGACACGTTTTATAATTTATAATCAAATCACTTTTTTTTTTTTTTTTAAATTAAATTAAATTTAATTAATTAATTTTTAATGAATTAAAAAAAAAAAATTATTTAAAATTAGTAATAAAAATTTGGTTGGTACAGAAATGGCGAGGAAAAGTCCAAGTACGGTCCCTATCGTGAGAGCAACCTCGGAGGAGGGATGCGGGGGGGCCACATCCACTCTCATCCGCACACACATTCAACACTGCCCAGAGCCCATATGTCAGGACCCAATCATGGTCAGTACGCGACTTTAAGCAAACAATGCAAAACGTTAGAATCGTCTGATTTTTACTGAGACAACGCCCCAACCCCCCAGGTTTGTCACTTATTAGGAAAATTTTCGTTTTTTTTAAAAAAAAACTTTTTTAACGCGTACATTTTTTTTAGGTTGCACATATAGATGGATCCTACGATACGGAAATGGATTCATATAATATATTTTCAACGAGAACAACAATGGAATCCATAGCTCAAATAACCTCGCAAGATTCATTTTCTCAATCCGTCAAAACACCACCGGATACATTTCAACCTACGATGCCTAGAAAAAGAGAAAAATCTCAGGAATCATTTTATTCAATTGGTGGTACGTCGAAACCCATGGAATCATTTCATCATCATCAGCATCATCAAATGCCTAAAGCGAACACTTTAAGTCGTCATCACGTAAAGACAATCGAAGTTCCAAGGGTTCCGGATACTTATTCGAAAACATTAAATCGAAGCAAATCGAAAGAACGTAATTACGAACCTTTCATGTTCAGAACCCAACAGCAACAACAACAACAACAACAACCACATTTACAATCCCAATCACCATCATCTGAACATAATAATAAAACATCCGTGCCTGATAAAAATGATTTGCTACCGGATTTAAGCGAGGCTGGTTACATGATAACGGAGCTTTAAATGGGGGGAAGGGGCTTATTTAAACAAAAACAAAAACTTTTTTTTTTTTTTATTTATTAAAAATTTTAATCGTTTAAGTAGTGTTCATTATATATAATAAAATTTAGCATTTTAAATAATATATATATAAATAAATAAAAGCAGAATGTATGAAATTTAAACTTGATAAAAAAAAAAAAAAAAACGCTGTTTGTTTGTGTTTGTTTCGTTTGTTTTGTTTTTTTGCTATAATTCATACTTACTCCTTCGACTTATATTTATTTTTAAATACGAATGAAAAAAAAGTCTTAAAGTCTGATTGTTGAGTATAATGAATTATTATTATTATTATTATTTTTATTATTATTATTATTAATCATTTTTTTTTTTTTTGTAATAATTTCATTTAGTTCTTTGGCCTAATAGTAATAATAATGATAATAATTTTTTTTTTTTTAATTTTATGAATCATCCTTATGGGAAAATTGTGTAAATGTACTCTTATCGATGATAATAATAATAATAATAATGTATAATAGATTTTCTTATTAAAAAAAAAAAAAAAAAAATCCGTTCGATTCTGCTGCTCACATTTGTTAATTTATAAATAATTACTGTAGATATAATAATAATAAAAAATAAATAAATAAATAATTTTCTTTTTTATGTATATTTGTATATAAATATAAGTATACAATTAGAAAGTTACATAAATATATAAATATATATATATATATAGATAAATGTGCCACAGGTACGATGATGATGATGTGTTTGTTATTATTATTTGCGGGTTTTTTATTTATTTATTTATTTATTTATTTCGTCATCGATTCGATATAATAATAATAATAATGGTAATTTTTTTATTTAAAAAAAAAAAAAATTTCTTTTTAGTTTTTTTTACTCTAGTCATTTTTATTAAGAAGAAAAAAATTTAATTTGTCATTTTAATACCTGATAAATCAAATTATTATTATTATTATTATTGTTATTATTATTATTATTATTATTATTTATTTAAAACAAAAAAAAATTTGAATTGTGTATAAATTAAATATTTATAATTGATAAATTAAAAATTATACTCGCTGGAAAATATTGCCAAAATTTCAAAGTGTAGTATAAAACGTTATTTAAGTAGTAAAGGTAAAAAAAAATTTTCTTTTCTTTTTCTTTCGGTAATTAATAATAATAATAATAATAATAATAATAATAATAATAATAATAATAATAATAATAATGATTCATTCATTCATTCATTCATTAACAAAAAAAAAAAATCGAGCTCAATTTTTAATTTTTTTTTTTTTTTTTTAAACAAAAAAAGAAACTGATTCGACAATAATAATTATTTATTTAATTTTTGTTTTCTTTGTTTTTTTTTGAATGGGGGCGGGAGGAGGGGGAAGTGAAAAATCGATTGAAAATCAATCGATAGATATTCAATAATAATAAAAATTGATTGGTTTTATTTCTTACAGGTTTTTTGTTTAATTTTTTTTTATTGTATTATCATCGGCTCAAAAATAATTAAACAATTTTTTTTTTTTTACATTCCTATTATTTATAAATAATAATAATAATATTAATAATAATAATAATTATTATTATTTTATTATCGTTTGATGAAAAGTATGTGACGAGCTTAATGACGTGGAATGTATGTAACTTTTTTTTTTTATTAGATAATAAATAAATAAAAATAAAAACAAATAGTTATATATTATTAGCTTTAGTTTGCCTTTAGCTAAATTATTATTATTATTATTATTATTATTATTTCGTACTAAAAAATTCTTTTTAAATAAATAAATAAGAAAAAAATAAAAATAAGTCAATGAGGCCTAAATTTTTTTTTGTAACTCATTATTTATTATTGATATTATTTATTTTAGAAAAAAAAAAAAATTATGGCCCGATATTATTATTATTATTATTATTATTAGTAATTATAGGTTATTATAAATTTAATTAAATTTTGTGCCAGTTTTACAGTTTTCATAATAAATAAATAAATAAAAATTTATTGAGGTATTTAAATTATTTATTATTTATTATTATTATTATTTTGTTTTGTTTTTCGAGTGTGCGTTCATTCACGGTTTTTTTTTTTTATGTTTTTGAAATCAAAGATTAATTTTTTGTAACTTTTTCCTTTTTTTTTTTATTTTTCTTTCTTTTTCTTTTGTCTTTTTCTAATTAAATTAAAATAATTTGTAAAAAAAAAAAATGGAAACTGTAAAAAGTAAAAATTAAAAATTTTTTATTACTTTGAAAAAAAAATTTTTGTTTTTTTATTTTATTTTTCCCCCCTCCCAATCATCATTATCATCGTCATTCCGTTAATTTCTCTATTCTCAAGAAAAATTAAATTTTAATTTTGTATTAATTTCATTATTAAAGAAATGAGTTTTTTTTTTTAAATTACTAATAGTTAAAAAGTTTAAAAAAAGTTTTTTAAAGACATTTTTCAAATCGATAAACCGTTAAAAACCGTTAAAAACCGTTAAAAAACGGTTTTACTAAATTTGAATTTTTTTCTTTTATGATTTTATAAATTAGTTTATTATTTTTAATACAGATGTCGCTACTATTAAAAATGGCCGCTCCTTAAAGGCGGTTATTTTAGCATTCGGTGTGTTTAAATCAAACAATAATGGTTTTTAAGTGTTTAATGAAAATTATAATTTATAAAAATTAAAAATTATTTAAATTTACTTATTTTTTACAAATGATAAAACGGTAAGTGTATATTTTTTAAAGAAATTTCACCTAATAACGAATTTATTCAGCGTTAATTTTAATAAATGTAAAACACGTTGTCTCTATTTTATAGTCAAACATTAATTTTATGGTTTATTATTAGGAAACAAATTAAAAAAGACATTTTTACAAATTTTACAATTAAATTAGATGATTGAGATGAAGTCACTTTGCTTTTAATCGGTTTAAAAAAAAAAAAAAACGATTACTTATTGTTGAGGTTAATTTTGTAATTTTCATTTATTCAAGTTAAGTTTGTTGAAACCACATAATAACAAAAAAAAATGTAGTAGTCATATTATTATTTATCTCTTACCACATTCTACAATATTAAATATTGTTTTTCTAATTTTGATTTATGTTTTTTTGTTGAAAGGTGATTCTTCACATGTTTTTAAAATGAATATCAAAGTGAGGGAAAAATGAAAATGAATCAGTGTAAAATACAAAAAAATGAAATATTAATGCAATTAAATCCATAAGAAATATATGGTAAGTTATTAATTATTATATTGAAATATTTATTAAAATCAGTTATTGTTTTAAAAATTAATTATTAAACAATTTTTTTTAATGTTCAACTCTATGTTGAGAGAGAGAAAAAAAAAAATAATATCCAAATGATGACTTCGCAAAAACTGTAAATTTTTTTGACTGATTAATAGCGAGGGGCCATCTGATGGATTAAATATTGAAAAATCTTTGTATAACCCATTAATATTTAAATTTTCTTGAATGTTTTCAACAAATTTATTAAAAAGAATAAAATGGTAACTTTTTTCAGGTTTTTGAGAGCGAAATGTTTGCGAAAAAGAAAAACTAAACACCATTCCCTCGCTAACTGAGCTAAAAGTGTATCAGGAATTATTTCAAAACTTTTACTAATTTTGTTTTAAAGGTAATTTATATGTTTATTAATCATTACTTAATTAAATGTAATTTTTAAAATTTAAAAAAAATTAAAATTTATTTCATTTCAATTTCAGATTTTTTGACTCGGTTTTGAAAAACGAAAAAAAATTAAAACTTTAATGGTGGATTTTATAATCGATAACAAAGACGAACTTCTCGGCATTTTTCTACAGTGAAAGAATTTTGTACAACAATAAGGTAAAATATTTAAAACAGTAAAAAATCTTCAATTCTTTCTTACTAATAAATGGGATAATGTGTGTGTGAAAAAAAAAAAAAAATTTATCATTTTTCGCAAGTAAGTATTATTTGTTTGTGAATTTTATCGGTGACAAGTTTTTTTTTTTGTGTTTTATTTCAAATTGTTTTAAATCATTTTAAATTTTAAATTTGTTAAATTAAAATTTTATCATCTAACAATTGATTTTCTTTTTTTTTTTTTTTTTTTTGTTTTTGTTTATTCTTTCTTTTATTTTAAATAAAAAAAATTTTTTTTATCGGGTTGATAAAAACAAATCATTTATTGTTATTTCATGCTCTGCATATAAAGAAAAAAAAGTCTTATTATTATTATTATTATTTGGATGTAATAATTAAATTTTAATTTTGTTGTTTTCAATGGTTTGTAAGGTAATAATAATAATAATAATAATAATTCAATTTTTTTAGTAAGAATAATAAAGACATTAGACACTGTCTGTGATATTAATGAAAAGTATTAATTAAATAGTATTGAAGTTTTTTTTTTTTTTTATTAATTACTAGTTTGAAAGTAATAATTATTTAAAACAAAGGACGAAATAAGTTTAATATTGAGCCGGTAATTAAATTTACTCTCGTAATCTAATTTAAATTCAAAAAAAAAAAAAAAAAGAGAGATAATGATAATAATAATTCCTTTTTTTTTTAAGTCGTGCGTGGCAAGTCGTTGAATATTTTGGTACCTGTAAAAGAATTATTATGATATATATATATTAAGTAATTTTATAACGCACACACACACACCAGACACCTGTTTGTGAGTAGTAGCCACACATTAACATTGTAGTTAACTTTATTTTTTTTTTTATCTTAATTTACATAATTGAGCTCTTTATAAGCTATAATTTTTTTTTTTTTTTTTTTACTCAATAATTAGCGTGCGATGGTTGAATAATGGTGTTAGCAAAAATAAAATTAATATTATGGAATTTAAAAACGAGAGGAGGGAGTACGGGGGGGGGGGAGAGGGTGGGGAAAACTCCAAAAAAATTGTGTCCCTCCATTAAATTCAATTCAAAACATTCGATGAAAATTTTTTTTCTTTCATTTATTTCTCACAGTTTGTCGTCTTTTGTTTTACG